CATACAATCATGAGAAAATATGATCTAAGATAATATAATACATTCATCATAATCATTTATAAGAAATTAGGCTCATTACATCAAGTGTAACTCTAGATTGTGAAATAATCACATATATACATCATTTTCCCCAAAATAAACTAAGGCTAGAACATGCTTACTAGAGAGGGCTTCATCACCTCCCTAGAAGAGGGTTTAGTTACCCATGGTGGCCCTAGATTGAAGAAGAAGCTTGATCCTCATCTCCATTTTCGTGCACCCTCCTTGAAGCTTCAAGAACTCCTCCTTCCTCCTCTCTTCTCTCTCCTCTATCTTGTAAAAATGTAGCTTGATCTATTGTGTGGCTCTTATCCCTCTTATCTACCACCAAAAGGCCACCAACCAACATCTCCAACCACTTCATTAAAGAGGAAAACAAAATGAAGAAACCAAGGTGCAAGTGGGCTGAAATGAGCCATTTACGAAGGGCATTCTGCCCAAAATTCGAGCACTCTAAGCAAGGCCTCGAGCACTCGAATTTAGTGTAAAAAGCTCCATGCTTCACTTGCTCCGCCCAGACCTACTTTGGTTAAACAGCCATAACTTTGCGCTCTGAACTCCGAATGATGAACCGTTTGAAGATTTAGAAATCTAATTCAGAGCTCTAAATATTTTATGTTTTGGTGGAGATCCAATTCTCAAGGATGATTGGTCGAAAATGAAGATCAAGGCAGAATTTCATTGCTGCCAGGCAGTTCTGCGCACCTCTGGTAACAAGACCATAACTCTCTGCTCCGAGCTCCGAATGACAAACCGTTTGAAGATTTAGAAATCTAATTCAGAGTTCTAAATCTTTCATGTTATGAGGGAAGTCCAGTTCTCGAGTTTGGAAGGTCAAAATGGCGAGCAAAGTCCAGGTTCTACTGCTGCCAGAATTCAGCATTGGCACCTTTTGTTGCTCAAGATTCCACAAGGCCTTATTCTTGTTCCATTTTGGCCAATGAACCTGAAAATGCATAAAAACATAGAAATGAAGATAATCTACATAAATTAACATACAACGGACTTTACTAATGCAATTTAGGGCACTTGAATATACAATATTCGGCGCTTATCACACGTGGTGAGTTCTACTGAATTTGCTTAGGTAGATTAATTCTTTTAAGATTTGAGTTTATTAAAGAAAAGTCCTATTCTTATAGGAAACCAATTAAATGGATATTTTCATTTAATTACGAAATCAAGGTTGATTAAGCAAAATGTGGGGCTGGATTTTCTCCTAAAATCTAGGGAGTTCTCAACAACTATGTCTGATTAAGTCAAGCAATGAGGAAGTGGGGTGTTGTTTCCAGAAATATAAAATATATTCCTAAATATATATATATTTTTATACAGCCCACGTTGGGATAAAGGAGTTGTAATTTTGGAGGCCACGACGCCATAAATTTTGAACATGGAAGAAAAGTTTCAAGAAGAGGAGCTATAGGAGTTATGGATGCAATCCACGTTAAGAAGAACTGAAATTTAGGAGTTCATGGCATCGTGAAGTCTAAAGTCGGAAAGGAAAAGGAGTATGGGTGATGATTGGTGTCGTGGATGTATATATATTCATACATATGTGTACACTCACAATGAGGAGAAGTGGCTGTAATTTTGGACACGATGCCATGAAAGGAAGGAAGTCCAATTGGAAAAGTTACCTAAAGCCAAGGGAACGTGGATGTGTGTATAATTTTTACATACATGTATTACGGAGGGAAGGATTCTGCAGAAGGAAAGACTTTAAAGAACATGGGATAAGTGGCCAAACAAAATGCATCAGTTGAAAGTGGTGGTCTTACATACAACTACTACCACTAACTGAAGTGGTTGTCAAAGAATGTGGATAACAGGGTTACTAAAATCGTGCTTGAAGCAAGAAGAACCAGAAGACATGGGACATGTGTCAGTTTATGGAGAAGACAAGTAGAAGATCCATTCTAAAACTACCCATGATATAAGTTCGTGGAAGACTAAAGGGACATGGTTCAAGTTAAACCTCAGAAGAAATCTACAACAAGAAGGAAGGAGGAAGAAGATGGTGGTAGAAATAAAAGGAACTGCCGAGAACATGGGACACTTGGCAGTATCGGACTAGGCCAAGTGGAAGTTGTTGAAGTCGCCACATCTCAGTTATTGCATGCAAGGAGGTCTATAAATAGTGCACCAAGTATTAACTTGGAAACCCTGCCTGCCCAATACACAACACATCAATTCAGCATCTTTGCTATTCACGTATCTCTCATTTCAATAATGAATTTACATATTGTCTAAACCTAGCACTTTGCTAGTCCATGCACTTTCCATTCCAGCAATGAATTTACATATTTTTTATATTGAGTCCAGTACTTTGCTATTCCATATAGCATTCATTTCAGCAATGAATTCTTATAATGTTTGAGTTAAGTCCAGCACTTTTTCCGTTTCTTCTAGCCGAGCACTGTATTTCCATGTCTCTAAATTTCCAGTTATACACTTCAATTATCTTAATTTCCAGTCCTGCACTTTAAATTACTTTAATTTCTAGTCTTGCACCTTCAATACCATCTTCATTTTCATTAGCCATAGAATAGTTTGAAGTCCTTGTTCAAAGGCAAAAAAGACCCTTCGAAGGTGGTCATTCCAGACCTTCGTACAATCATCTGATCCTTACAAATTTCCTGTAACGACCCGGAAAGATACCAAAATAATAATAATATCTATAAAAATTTCGGCATGACTTCCGCAGAAAAAATGTCCCTCTACAACCTGTTGAAATACAAAAATAAATGCAATGGCTTCATTAGGCCTTAAATCTAACCTATCATGTCCCAACGCACAATACATATATTATATTACATTCCCAAAATGGTTACATACATACAAAAGTCCCGTTCCTCTATCTCATCTAAACAAGGGACACATTTTAGTTACATCAATTTACAGTCCAAAAATGTAGTTATAATTTAAAAGTCCATAACTTACAACATTGTACTAATTAACTAAAGTTTCACAAGTTAGTTAATATTACATTTACAAAATATTAGAGTTCTAATACAAAAGATAGCAAAAATAAAATAAGTTTCCGTGCTCATCTAAAATCTTGGTGGGTCGTCGTCCGCCACCTCATTTCCTTGTCCTGAAAAATATTAAAAAAATAATGGGGTGAACATAAGCTCAGTAGGAAGTGTCTAAGACACGCTTCTTATATCCTCGTGAATTTCACACAAAGAATGGGCAAAAAGAAACGGTGTCATACCATGAGGCAAACATAATCTCAACCATAGCAACAAGAATCTAGCAAATGTCAACAAATCACAAAATTTTCCCATAATATCATGAAGTGCAATGTTATACAATGTCGTTCCCCATTTCCGAAACAATTCCGTTTCAACAACCAAACCGTTAGTGTAATCCGACCCAAGGCACCTCCAAGGCATCACAAAAAAAAGGTTGACTAACTATCCATGACCACAAGGCACCTCCAAGGCGTCACATCCGGCCTAGTTAGCTCAACCATATTCCCTTCTAGACTACACTAACAACACGGATCACTAAGCGCCTCCTAGGCATCTGGTTTTCGCAAACACCTTAGAAAATATTTTTCCAAAAACAATTTCATTTATTTTAAAACATTTTTCCCTTTTTCTTTCCCAATGGATGCATGAATGACTAATGCTTCTAATCATCAATTCAACTATAGGTTTTCACACATTCCATTTGCATCATCATCACAATTTAATAAGAATTTCTAAACATTCATTTTATTTATTTATTTATAATCATAGCATCAATTCTTTCAAAGTAATAAATATATAAATAAATAATCATAGAACATACAACATATCAACACTAAGCATCAACACTAAGCATGCTTATTTACTGAAATGAAAATGGATATATATGTGAACTCAAATAACACATAGAACACATTTATCATTTTCATTACACATAACTACAACAACAACAAACTAGATAATCTAAAATTAGCATGCTTAGGATCAAATTTATGGAGAAAAATTCACAAAAGACACAAGAAGTTGTAGATTAGAACACCCCTATCTCAAATTGATGAAAACCCCCAATTTGAGCCCAAGAACCCTAGAATTTTGAACTCCCTAGAGTGCACCAAATAATGATTGGCTCCTATCAAATTGAAGGCCTCGATGAGCTCTCCGACTTTGCTTCACAAGGTTCTACCAAATTTCAAAGGGATAGAGCTAGATCAAGCTTGAAATTACAAAAAGAGAAAAAAAAAATAAGAAAACTGCCGAGAGAAGGCTAGACGTAGCTGAGAGAGAGGAATAAAGGAGTCTGCATAATGGCCTTATGGCCTTTTTATGGTGGTTAAAATATTGGTGGGGCCCACTGGCTTTTAAAAATCTAATAACTTAACATACATACATATATATATATATATATATATATATATATATATATGTAAAAACTTAAAACATTACATTTCCAATTGGATTACTGAAAGTACAAATAATTTTTCCCTAATTGTAGAGAGAGAAACTTTACACTCCCAATGATTTTTCACCACTTTTCCCTCTTAATCCCCTTTATTTATAGACGGTTATAACCACCACTGAGCTGGACCTACCTTGTTCTCTTTTGGTTGGACTCGACTCCCTCATTTTAACATGGGCTTCTGAAATGACTTTATGGACCTGGGCCTATCCGGCGCGAACTTGCTCCATCCCATTTGTCCTCACCCGACCCGTCCTATGCAATATGGATCACACCAAACCCGGGTCATTTTGGTGTCCTCATCTGGCCCCAATAATCTCTTTCCTCATTAATGAGGGTGAGATTATTGAAAGGACACGATCTTGGTCTGATGGCTTGGAGCAATGACTCGAGGAATCGAACGGCTGGCATAAGAACCCAAGTTTCGAGATCTGCAGCGCCACTTTTTGCCTTGACCTTTGGAGTTTCATGTCGCTTTTACTTCTCCTCTTTATAAATTCTGGTCTCTCAACCTTCACCCTTCCTCTTACCTTTCGCTTCTACTCTCTGTTGCTTTCCTGCACATTTCGGCGATCCTTTTTAATTTCTCCGGCAAGTTCTTCCGGCAAGTCCTTCCTTTTTGATTTTTAGCTACTGTGCCGTCGCTGAGTTCATCACAAACTGTCAAGGTTAGTTTTTTTTTTTTAAAACCTCTCCTTAAAAGACGCCTTTACTGCCTAGGACTCTTCCCCTTTTTTATGGCTTCCCCTAACCTGAACGTCATTCGATCCAAGAATTATATTCCTCGCGACGTTTCTCTCAGAGTCTACCCAACAAACTTAGACGAGAGATCTGGCGAGGGTCTTCTTCCTGGGGAAGTTTTATTCTCCGCCGTTCACTTGAACGTCATTAGGTTCCCCGTACACCTGTTCTTTTGTTATGCTTTCAACAAATTGGGGCTCTGCCCCCTACAAGTTAACCCAAACTTTCTTAGGGTAATTTCAGTCCTCCTACTCTTGAATCGTGATAGGGGTCTCAATCTTGACATTATTGACCTTCTCCTCTGCTATCGGATTAACAAGATTTCTCAAAACGACTTGTACTATCACTTCTTTCCTATTGACAAACGGTCGATCTGCACTGATAAAAGCTCATTTGAAAAAGGTTGGAGGCGGAATTTAATTGTGGTTGGTGGGAATTGGCGGACTCCGCTTGGCCATTCCTTCCCTATCCCTTTTTCCTTTGGAGCATGTTCTGTCTCTGGCTACAAAAAGCTGAAAACACATCCTACCGAATGCCACTATGAAAGTTGTCTTCCCCGTTTTTGCACTTTTCTTTATAGATGCCTTCAAATTCCCCATGATGAACTAGTTTATAGCGTCTACAGGGCTAGGCTAGATACCTTGCAAGAAAGTGTGCTGAACGATGTCCCTTCAGCTACTGATTTGCTTACATCTGATAATCTCTCTGACATCTCTCTTTTAGGGTCTACAATGGAGAACATTCAGATCTCATCGTTCAGCAGGAGGAGGCGTCCTGCTCCCACCCCTCTTAACGCTCCTACCACCATTTCATCATCTACACCTGCTTCCACATCATCTCTCCTTGCTGTCTCTACCCCAGAGCAAGTCGCGGTTGCCCCAGTTGTGATTCAAGTCTCAAACCATTCTGCTGATGCGCCCTCTGAGCTCACCCATGCTGAGAACCCTATTATGGGCCATACTGCTGAAGTCCGTCCTGCTGCCCCTGTCATCATGCCATCAAACATCTCGTCCAACACTTCCTCAGAGAGCACTCAGGATGCTAGAAATTCTGAGGACAATGGGGGGCCAGCTAATGCTGTTCTGTCGGAAAAGAGTTTAGGAAAAAGGCCAATGCCTGAGGGCGGTCATGATCAGAGTGACATCCCACCGACCTGAAGGATCAGGACGGCTTCTTTCAGGGTTACTGAACCATCGCCCCTTGCCCGGTTCTTCATTCCTGAAGGCGAGTTGGCCAGAACCTCTGGTCCAATTCCATCCGTTCTTCCATAGCGACCTTAGCTCAACCGTAAAGATGGATCAACCATTAGCCCCACTGACTCAATATACAAGGACCCCCTCACCTCATTTGCTTTCTACAAGGGTTTCTGGACCCCCAAAGACCTTGAAATCCAGAACAAGCTATCCTTTGGTGAGATGTTCCAACGGTTCCCAACCACTGCTATGGAGATGACTCTTCTTCTACTGAAATGTGTTCCTTTTCTGTTATGATTCCTTAGTAATTAGTCTGACCTGAATTTCTTTTTCTTCATGCAGACTCTATCGGGATGTTCACCTTTCAAAAAACAATTAAAACTCTGAACAAAAAACTTAAGTCTCTCTCTGTGGGCCTTAAAAGGTCTGTTGAAGCAGAGACTCTTCTTGAGGCTAGAGTTGCTGAGCTAGAGTCTAAGCTTAGGGACTCAGAGAAGGGAGTTGCTGACCTAAAGGCAGAGAGAGATGGTCTGGCAAACGAGAGGGATTCCCTCAGAGTTGAACGGGATTCCCTGAAGACTGAACGGGATTCTCTTCATGAAGAGGTTGACATCTTAAAAACTGAGAAGAGTGTGGCTCTAACAGAAAGGGACTCTCTCAAAGCTGAAAAGGGAAACCTTCAGCACTCTTTCATTGCTGAATGGTTATCGCATGCGAATTCCCAAGAAAAACTTCTAAACGAACGGTCTTCCCTGATGAACATGATCGGTAGAGTCGAAGGGGGTATGAGAGCTCTCCTTGCTCGCTTTACCAGGACCAGTGCCATCTGGTATGATGAAGGGTACAGAGACAGTTTTGTTGACCGTTCTCCCCCTAAAGGTGAATCAAGTTCTTATGCTGGTCCTGATGAACTAGATGCTTCTCTGGACATCCACCCCCCAAACAATTATCAAAATCCATCATGCGACCCAGCTGAGAACATTTTTATTGAATGCATAGAGGTCGCATCTTCAGGAATTGTCCCACCCTTTCATCCCCTGAACATTCTTCCCCTTTCTACCATCGTGCCCTCGTCCTCTGTTGCTGCCGACAGACCTATGCCTGCTGAGGGGGTGATTCATTTCAACTCCCCTTCTAAGGATGATAGGGCAGATGAGAATGGAGAAGCTCTCGATGGTCCAGAGGAAGATGGTGGCAAGAATGACAAGTTACAGCCTGGAGAAGATCAGAACTGACACCCAATAGCAATTTTTTTTTTTTTTTTTTTTTTTTTTTTTTTTTAAATCTGCATGTATGGTACTATGTACCTTGAGGCCTTTTTGGTTATGAATGATAATGCTTTTGCTCAGCATCACTTTCCTCCTTTGAGTTTTCTATTTTCAGCTTTGCAGTGTATTTTCACAAGTGCTTAACGTTCGGCCATGTCACCATTCTGTCCTTTTCTTACTCATTTGTGAGCAAGTGTTTGGCGTTCGGCTTGAAGTGCCAGCTGCCACTAACTTGCTGAATGCCTGGCGCTCGGCTTGAACGCCTCTTGCCACTGGGCTTTTTTTTTATTTTTTGAGCAAGTGTTTGGCGTTCGGCTTAAAGTGCCAGCTGCCACTAACTTGCTGAATGCCTGGCGCTCGGCTTGAACGCCTCTTGCCACTTGGCTTTTTTTATTTTTATTTTTATTTTTTGAGCAAGTGTTTGGCGTTCAGCTTGAAGTGCCAGCTGCCACTAACTTGCTGAATGTCTGGCGCTCAGCTTGAATGCCTCTTGCCACTTGGCTTTTTATTTTTATTTTTTGAGCAAGTGTTTGGCGTTCGGCTTAAAGTGCCAGCTGCCACTAACTTGCTGAATGCCTGGCGCTCGGCTTGAACGCCTTTTGCCACTTAGCTTTTTTTTTTTTTTTTGAGCAAGTGTTTGGCGTTCGGCTTGAAGTGCCAGCTGCCACTAACTTGCTGAATGCTTTGCGCTCAGCTTGAACGCTTCTTGCCACTTGGCTTTTTTCTTCTTCTTCTTTTTTTTTTTTTTTTTTTTTTTTTTTTTTTTTTTTTTTTTTTTTTTTTGAGCAAGTGCTTGGCGTTTGGCTTGAAGTGCCAGCTGCCACTAACTTGCTGAACGGGAAGAGTGTAAATTTTTAACAAAGAAGAGACTTTTTATAAAGCATGGAAATTTGGTACACTTGCAAGCATGCAATTTAGGGCGTACACATTACTTGAAATTAAACTCTACTTTTACTGGTAGTACCTTTTCAGAGACGTAGCATTCCATGGCTTATTGACCACCCTTCCTGTCATAGTTTCTAGGACGTATGCCCCCTTCCCTATGACCTCTGCTATTCTGTATGGACCTTTCCATGGGGAGAACATCTTTTTGACTATTCCCACCTTCCTTTTCAGAACCAGATAGCCAAGAGCGAAACCCCTGTGCCTCACCTTCTTGTTATGGCTATTCACAAACGTCTGTTGATAAGAGGCAAGCCTCACTGTAGCCGCATCCCTTTTTTCTTCCAACAAATCAAGATTGAACCTCAGCATTCTATCATTCTGCTCTTGATCCCACGCCAAGCTCCTTACAGTTGGAACCAAATGCTCGACTGGTATCACCGCCTCGGTGCCATAGGCCATAGCGAATGGGTTCTCTCTAGTTGGCCGTCTTGAGGTTGTTCTGTAAGCCCACAAGACGTTCGGTAGCTCATCTAACCATTTGCCCTTTTCATTCTCCAGCTTTTTCTTAATACAAGCAAATATTGTCCTGTTTGTGATCTCGGCTTGACCATTAGCCTGGGGATGACTGACTATTGCTAACTTCTGATTGATTCCATATTCCTCCAGCAGTTCTCTCACTTGCTTGCTATCGAGGTTGGTTCCATTGTCCATCACGATTGACCTTGGTACGCTAAAACGACAGATAATATTGTTCCAGATGAAACGTCTTACTTGAGTTTGGGTGACACTAGGGTACGGCTCTGCTTCTACCCATTTGGTGAAGTAATCAGTAGCTAGCAGAATGTACTTATTCTGCGATCTTGCAGTCGGCAAAGGGCCAACCACATCCATCCCCCACTGCGCGAAAGGCCATGGGGTGGCCATTACGTGCAGGTCTTTAGGTGGTTGATGTATCAATGACCCGAACCTCTGGCATTTATCGCATCTTCTAGAGAATTCTTCTGCATCTCGTGCTATGTTTGGCCAGAAATACCCCTGTGTCATTGCTTTGTGTGCTAAAGATCTTCCTCCGGAATGATTTCCGCATACTCCCTCGTGAATGGTTCGCATAATATGTTTAGCTTCTGCAGGGGTAGCACACTTCAAATATGGACCCGAGAAGGAGCGTCTATATAATTGATCGTGCACAATGGCATACTTTGCTGCGCTGGACCTAATTTTTCTTACCTCGTCCTTACGCTCGAGGAGTGTACCATTACGTATGTAAGCCATGATTGGATCAATCCAGCTCGGCTCATATGGTATAACATTAACATGTTGAGTGCTTGGATTAGGCAGCTCTTCAAAAATGGAAGGTTGGATCAGTATGTCGACCGGGATGACCCTAGCTAAAGTATCTCCAGAACTGGATGCACTACAAGCCAAGTGGTAAGCATCTTCGTTGTACTCTCTCGGCAATTGGATAAACCTGATCTGAT